ACACACACACACACACTGTTCATGGGTCTGAGTATAAAATGCCAAAATTCTCACCATGATGTTCATGTCTTGTTTGGTCCAAGCCTGGACCCCTCTCCCCACCCTCACCTTGTACCACTCTCGCCCTTTGCTGTCTCCTAACCAGCCACAGGGCCCACCTACCATGCTGCTTCCTCCCCAGCCTGCTCATGCTATTTCTTCTACCCGTGATGTTCAGCCCACTCCATCATTTACTCACTCTTGTCTCTCAGTAGAAGCATTATTTCAGGAAAACCATCCCTGTCTCAGTTAGGTCTGTCTGACCTCCTAGAACCACCGGCCTGGCCTTCAGTGCATTCAGCTCTGTTGCAGTTTTACATATATCCAGGCAGGTATTTCACAGACACATTTTTCCCTAATTAGGAAGTCAGCTCCAAGAATACGGTTTTTGGCCACCATTGGTGGTTTTCGTAGCTTGGATCTGTGCATGGGAACACAAGGGTTGGTTTAAAACATACTCCCTGAATGAATGAACAGCACTTGCCTTCCTCTCTTCAGCCTAAATCCCCATGCTTCCAGAACATGGGGTTAACGTCCTAGCCCTGTATCACTCTGCCCCTAATGTGCAATGCCCAGCCTCTGCCCTCGAAGTCCTCCCACCTGGAACATCCACTTGGCTTCTTTGTGTCCACCCAAATCCAGCCTTTGAAGTTCAGCTCCAGTGGGCCCTCTGCAGAGCTTCTGAAAACCATGCTGGTAAAGGGGGTGAGAAGGGATAAATTGGGAGTTGGAAGTTTGCCCCTCTCAGGGAGTGATGGAAATGTTAGGTGGTGACGGTTTCCTCGGTGTATCCATCTATCAAAATTCATCAAACTGTACATCTGAAATATGTGTAGTTTACTGTACAGAAATGATACCACAATAAAGTTATTTTAAAAAATAATTTAAAAACCACGTTGGTCTTCATAGCTTTAGCATCCTTCTATGTGCAAGTTTAGATCTCAGCACCTCATTTCAAACTTCCTTATTTAATGAACAGAGAATATGAATCCAAGGTAACTACTGTGGCATAGTCTAAATTGTTCCTTTTGCTTCTGGTTTGTTAATATAAATCGACATTTTTAAAGTATATTGTATTACACAGGCACAAAATTTGGCCAGCCCAAGTGCTGGTTAAAATGAAAGTTGAAAGGAAGTTGATAATTTCAATAAAAAAATTCAGCTCTATAGAGGGGAATTAAATGATTGGAATTTTAATAAATTCTGGCTTTTGGTGAAATACTCTTTCCTTTGCAATGTTGAGAATTAATTTGTGGAGATTAAAATTAATTAATGGTGACTGAGAAAGATGTATTAAAAAACTTGTTTGCCTTGGCCGGACAAGAAGGCATTTTCAAAGCAGATACAAGAAAAAGTATAGATCTGCACTATACATAATGTTCTGTTGAATAATTGGAGTTTATTCCTCCCACACCTGATAAAAATAACATTTTGGCATTGCAGACCCCATGCCATTATTTTTCTATCCATTTTAAGTTTGTTCTCATAAGACTGTAAAGTGTAGGATGTGTGTGTGTGTGTGTTTCACCTCACCAGGCAACTGTCTGCTTGTTTTCACTGTAATTTGCCTGCCTCTAATTTATAAGTCCTTTTTTCTGGACGGTGGGGAGGGTGGTTGGGGGAGGTAGTTTCTTTTATTTACTTGCTTATTCTTAGAGGAGTTACCAGGGCTTGAACCCAGGACCTCATGCATGCTAAGCATGCGATCTCCCACTTGAGCTACACCCTCCCCTCTTAAAAGTCCTTTTGAAAGGAAGAAGATGGGTCTTTATCTGTGTCAGAGGGATTTACAGCTGAAGAGCCCCGGTCCCTCTTGCAGAGACACGCACGGAGGTCTCATGTCACTTGAATCTGAAAGTGAAATCAGATGCAGTTTTACTTTTTCTGTTTCAGTTATCTCAGGGATCTCCAGAACCAATTGAGCCCAGCTTTTTCACAGCAGATTACCATTTATTGCATCATTCATCAAGGGAATACAGCCTGTCCCCAAATAACTCAACAGGTAATGGTCTTCAACACAGGAATCTGGCTTTCATGAAGAAACAAATTGTTTGGTATTTTTCTTTCTCTTTCTGGCTTACTTCACTTAGAATGACATTCTCAAGGGACATCCATGTTGCTGCAAATGGCATTATGTTGTTTTATGGCTGAGTAGTATTCCATTGTATATAACACAGGGAAATACATTCAAGATCTCGTAGTAGCTTACAGTGAAAAAGAATATGAAAAAGAATAATATATGTATATTCATGTATGACTGAAGAATTATGCTGCACACCAGAAACTGACACAACATTGTAAACTGACACAACGTTGTAAACTGACTATAACTCAATTAAAAAAAAAGAAAGAAAAAAAACAGTTTGGATCAACAGCTATCCTCAAAAGATTATCTTCAATTTAAAATAAAAATAGATCTTATATTTATTATCTATGATGGTAGTTGAGAGGGACGTGCAGTAGGAGTCTGGCAATTCCCTGAGATTTACTTTACCTACTTGGGACAGCTTCCATGATCATTAATTAATACCAGAAGCAAACAGAATCCATGTGGTTAAATTGTATTTCCTTTTATTTCTTCTTATCTGATGATGGGAAATCAAATGCCCAAAAGCATCCGGGGAGATAAAAAGCAGAAAGGGAAGAGTTTGAATAAAACAGAAAATTTGAAACATACCTGAAGAATCACATGAAACATATTTACTTCATTTTTCTTTTTTGGAGGAATTTCACATAGGGAGGCAATGTAACTTAGGGATTAAAGGTGCACACTCAGTCACTGAGTAGCTGACCTTGAGCAAACCATTTGACCTCGCTGAACTCCAGTTTCCTTGCCTGTAACATGGGGATTAAAATGTTATGTGTATTTTAGGATTATTGCAAGGATAAGTGTAAACACATAACAAATGCTTAGCCAGTATGCCTACGGGCTGAGCATAGTGTAACTCTCCTTGTTACGTGTGACTCTCAGAAGAAATCTTCAGGCTACTCTGAGGCTGTAGAATTCCTGCATAATTTTTGAATCCCTGTGAACTACAGTTAGGTCCCTCCGTGGGGCAGAAACAGATGTGAACCTTTTAGGGTTAAATGAAAACCTGCCATTTCCTTAGCCAAGAACATCGCTCATTGCTGGTGTGCTTTTGTTGGTGCCTACCTTAGGCAGATCATTTCATATAATAATTATCAGACTTTCCCCAAGACTTGGATTCCTGGGATAAAGCTAACCTGGGTAGGCAGAATTTCATTTAAAATAGCCCCTGAGAAATGTATAAGATCAGATAAACTGTTGTCTAAAGTCATTTGCTTTCATTTATTTCTTAATTGGAGTATCATTGATTTGCAATATTGAGTTAGTTTCAGGTGTACAGCAAAGTGATTCAGATATATATATATATCTGAATATATATTATATATTCCTTTTCAGATCCTTTTCCTTTTATAGGTTTACAAGATATTGACTATAGTTCCCAATGTTGTACAGTAAATCTTT